TTTTTTTTCCCTTAGCACTTTAAGTATGTCCTGCCTCTCCTGGCCTGTAGGGCTTCCACTGAAAAGTCTGCTGCCAGACATATTGGAGCTCCATTGTGTATTATTTGTTTCTTTTCTCCTGCTGCTTTTAGGATCCTTTCTTTATCCTTGACTTTGTGAATTTGATTATTAAATGCATTGATGCAGTCTCCTTTGAGTTAAATCTGCTTAGTGTTCTCTAATCTTTTTGTACTCAAATATGGGTCTCTTTCTCAAATATTGATAGCTTTGGGAAGTTCACTGTTATTATCCCTTTGAATAAACTTCTACCCCTGTCTCTTTCTCTATTGCCTCTTTAAGATAAAGAACTCTTAAATTTTTCCTTTTGAAGGCTATGTGCTAGATCTTGTAGGTGTGCTTCATTCTTTTTTATTCTTTTTTCTTTTGTGTCCTCTGACAGTGTATTTTCAACTCATCTATCTTCAATCTCACTAAGTTGTTCTGCTTGATCAATTCTGTTAAGATATTCTCATGAATTCTTCAGTATGTTGATTGCATTTTAAACTCCATAATTTCTTCAGAATTCTCTGGATTACAAGGCAGAGACTCTTGTTTTCTTTCCTTACTTTCTCTCAAACAAATGATGTCTCTCCTGTGTGTTGAGCGTCTAGAGCTGGTGGTGGCACGACACAAGCACCCCTGTGGTCACCACCACTGGGACAGTGCTGGGTAAGACCTGAATCCAGCACAGCACTGGGTCTTACCCAGGGCCCTCTATAACTACTACCTGGCTATTACCTATGCTCACCCAAGACCCTAGACTTCTAGAATTAGCAGGTGGCAATACCAGCCAGGCTTGTGTCCTTCCCTTCAGGGTGATGAGTTTCTCTAGGCCCAGGCATATCCAGAGGTACTATCTGAGAGCCAGGGACTGAAATAAAAAACCTGAGAAGTTTATGTGATGTTTTGTTGTGCTGTGGGTGACTTGCACTCAAGCCATGAGATGGAGTCCTTCCACTCTTCCCTTACCTTTCCACAGGCAGAGGAGCGTCTCCCTGCAGCTACCTCCACCACAGGCTCAGAGGGAGTACCGCCAGACTGCCACCAACATTCCCTTAAGGCCCAAGGGCTCTTCAGTCAGCTTGTGGTGAATACTGCCTGGCCTGAGACTCACCCTTCAAGGCAGTAGGCTCCCCTCTGACTCAGGGCATGTCTAGAAATGCCAACCAAGAGCCAAGATCTGGAATTGGGGACCCCAAGAGCCCTCTTGGTGCTCTACCCTACTGTAGCTGAGCTGGTATCTAAGCTGCAAGACAGAGTCCCCTTTACTTTTCCCCCTGCTTTTCTCAAGTAGAAGGATTCTCTCTTCATGACTACCACAGCTGTGAATATGGTGGGTTTCACCTGAAGTCAGCATATCTCAGAGTCTCACCTAAGGCCAAGGGAGTGTACTACTGAATATTGCTGCTGGTTATTTAGGGCCTGAGGGTTCTTCAGTCAGCAGATGATGAATCCTGGCAGGACTGGGTCCTTTCCTTCTAGGCAGTGGGTTTTCTTCTGGTGCAAGGTGTGTCTAGAAATGTCCTTCAGGAGCGAGGGCCTGAAATAGCAGCTTCATGACTCTGATTGCTGCCCTATCCTACTACGGCTGAGCAGATGTTTACGATGTAAGACAAAGTCCAAGTTACTCTTTCCTGTCCTCTCCTCAAGCAGAAGGAAGGAGTCACTTCCATTGCTGTGAGCTGTGCTGCCCGCGTTTTGGGGAGGGATTGGGCAAGCCCTCCCTTAGCTGCCCTGTCAGGTGTCACGCTAGTGATGTCCGAGTCCACTGGCGCTGAGCCCAGCGCAGCACTGGGACTTGACTTGTAGTTGTAGTTCTTGTGGCCTAGATTGTCTTTCAAATGTATTTAGGACCCCAAAGCACTTTATCCTGCTGTGGCAAGGCTTTCCCAAATTCAGGTTCTGACCACTGGGTTAGGCAATTCCCCTTTGGCTAAGGTTGGTCTAAATGCTACCCTTGTGGGTGGGCTGTGACAGGGCAGCACTGAGTTCAATGCAGATTTCCGCAATTGCTGCATTATCCCTCCCCCATGCGCTCAGGTTCTCTCTCAGCTCCATGTGATCCCTGCTGGGAGATGGGGAAGTGGTGGCCTCAGTGATTCAAACTTGTTTTGCTAACCACATCAGTGCCTCTTTCAGTGATATGAAGTCAAAATCAGGTACTGTGATAGTTGACTTGATTTTTGTTTCCTATGTAGGTGCTTTTTTGTGTGTAGATAGTTGTTAAATCTGGAGTCTCAGTTGTCCAGACACAGGGAATGATTCTGCCAGCACATAGTTCACATGTTATCATAATGAGGCTATAGCCTCCTCAGGTGGAAACTTTAGCATGGTAATGAGGAAATTTCATGGCCGTTTGTCTGTAAGTTGCTGGGTTATGCCAGGAGTTGATTCCCACCAGCAAGCCTGTAAAACAGGCTGATTGCTCAAGTTGGTTAAATTCTTATAATCCCTGGAGACCCTGCCTGCCTGCTTATACAACAATTAACTGCATTTACTACTGCAAGACTTCCTGAAAATTTGATATTAAGAGAGTTTTATAAAATCAGACATTGGAGGTTCAAGGAAGAGAAGTGGACTCCAAGGATCATGTCTTTGGGATGAGGACACAAGGTGGAGAGGGTGTGATCCCTCTATCCTATGGTTTTAGAGATGAGGCATCCCTGACTGTGATCTGGTACCTGAAGCAAAGAAGGTCCGCTCCATTTTTCTTTACAGGAAACATGGCTCCAGCTTTCATTGTCCCATCTTCTCCTTCTGCTACTTTGAGCTTGTATAAAGAGTGGACTCACTTCCTGACCTGCCCTATTTTACCTACAGTCGGTGGATTCTGTTGGGCACTGGGATTTCCTGAACCTGGTATCCCTGTGCAAACTTTTAAGTTCACAGCCTCTCCTTGGAGAAGCAAAATCTCAATAGCTTCTCCAGAGGAGAGACTTAAATACAGCTGCTTTCTGATGCCACTACTGAAATGGAGTCATCCAAGGAATGGAAATTGCTATTTTTGAGGGTCTGGAAGAGGAACAGAAATATAGAAGTCAGAAATTGCAGACTGAAGGACCAAGGTGTGGATCTGATGGCATCATATCTCTGTTGTATTGTGAGTCAGGCCATCCAAAAAGACCCACTCAGTCCCCAGAACAATCACTTGATTGCTACACCTGTCTATAACTTGCAAGAAGGGGCTTCCCCTTCCTGTTACTCATGGATTCTTGAGTGAAGCCCTGTAATGGAGGCCAGGGCAAGGGCTCTCATTATCCATTTCTTCTCTCTCTGGGTCTACAAATCCCTAATTCTAGAGGCTGTGCTTTCTGACAGGCGTTGAATGAACCCTTTGACTCACCACTGGGGACAGCTGTGGAGGGCAGAATAGGCAGGAGCCAATCACCTTGATGAGTGCTGGCAATTCTCTATCTTCCTCCTCCCCTTTCTCCTTCCCAAGTGACCAGATGCTCCCCATCTCCAGGACATGGAAGTTTTGGGGAAGATACCCATCTCTCCTCCAGACAGTATTACAATCTGTCCATAATGCTGTCTGAACAATTTATCTCATTCCACATTTGACTCAAATACTGGATCCACCTCTAGTACAATTGCTAATAGCTGGAGACTTGATGTACTCATTTAAAAGAAATATCTCTGAAGCTAAACTTTTTTTAAATCTTGGTTTTACCATATTTATAGCATTCTTGACTTTTTCTACTTTCTTTTTTTTTTGTTTTCTATCATAATGTTCAATTCTATAAAAATGTATTATTCATAAATCATAATCAAACATGTGCATTTTAAGTTTATTCACTGCAGCCTCTATATCTCATGGGATAGAAACCATGCCTATAAAAACCAGACTTGTACCATAAAGCATCAAATGGGACCTGAGTATTGGGCTCCATTCTGGAATACAACTAAAACAAGTGGAGATCTGTACACAAGTTATAGGTGGGTGTAGGGGCAGGGGTCAGTGGATGGAAAATTACGTAGAGGAGATATCAAGGCCAGGGAACCAATGCTAAGTTGACTCAATTGGATATTTTTTTTTTTTGAAGGCAGTCCAGGAATAAAGTATCACATGGAGGATGATGGGGGAATTAAGGAATTTGGTCAGATATTGAGGGTGAGAGATTCATGATAAACCAAGTTAGGAGGACTTCTTTAAAACCCGACTTTTGTTTGGGCACTGGTGGCTTATGCCTGTAATCCTAGCACTTTGGGAGGCTGAGCCAGGCAGATCACCTGAGGTCAGGAGTTTGAGACCAACCTGGCCAATATGGTAAAACCCTGTCTCTATTAAATTGCAAAAATTGGCCGGGTGTGGTGGCGCATGCCTATAATCCCAGCTACTCGGGAGGCTGAGGCAGGAGAATAGCTTGAACCCAGGAGTCAGAGGTTGTAGTGAGCCGAGATTTCACCACTGCACTCCAACCTGGGTGACAAAGCAAGACTCTGTTTCAAAAAGTAAATGGGTAAAAATAAAAATAAATATAAACCTGACTCTTTAAGAAAGGACTAGGAATGAATGACCTAGTTGTGGAGAGGGCTCAGAGGAGATGACTAAAGTTTGGTGAAGGCAAGAGTCTTGGACAGTTGGTAGATGTCAGTTGAGACCTTAGTTTTTCAGCCTAAAGCAGGGAGAGGGATAAGTCCGTGCTGCTTCATGACAGAAAAAAGTCTCTTATCCTGAAATCTCTCTATTTCCCATAAATCTCAGGTTAGAGGAAGGAAAAATCTCTAGATTGTCAGTAAATGACAGCAGAGCAGCTGAAGTAGACACACGACACTTCCAGATGAATTTCCAAAGCAGTTTATTGCGAGGTTCACAAGGCACTTCAGCTCAGGAAACCTGAAGGGGTATGGAGACTGATGAGGATAGAAGCTGATACCCAGGGTACATGGAGGGATGGGATCTTGGCTATGACTGAGGAGCTTGGCAGATGAGCGATGACGAGGAGTACTGATACAGGAGCTTAGATGATGGTATCCAGGTGAACCGGAACCACTGGATACTGTGGAGAGTCCCGTTGTTCTCTGTTGTCACATGCCACTACATAGAACATGTTTGCTTGAGTTGAGGAATACACGCAGTTTGAAGTAGTCGGTGGACCTGTGAGGTTACAGTAGGTTAAAGGCACCTGGACTCCACTGTGATGACAATTGTTGAGAGATGCATTACGAGGGCAGGTCATATTTGCGTTACCACAAACATTAACTACATTAGCAAAAGTTGTATGAAGAAAAGTATTTTGGTTTTTGCATCGAGTTCCATACTTGTTAATTGCCTGCATTGCAGAGTTGCAGCGGAGGGGCGTTGTTTGGATGTGCTGGAAGCGAAACCACTGCGCCCTGGAAAAATTCCGGGGTCTGGTATGGAGTGAGCCCTCCACACCCAAAAGCCCCAACAGAAGAAGCAGACAAATTTTGGAAGTGAACAGTTTTGGAACCATATTTCCTGTAAGAAAAGAAAAGAAGAGAAGTAACTACTCCCTGATCTGGTCTCGGTTATGACACACTGTGGTGTCTCACCCCACAGGCCCCTCTGCTGCCACGTGGGGGTTCCATTTCCTTTTTCTTCTTGTCCCCAAAGTGTGCCACATCTCCTAAGCACTAACTTCAGCTCACCTCTCCCTCAGTTGCTGACCAATCGCTGCCCCTCCTGTCCCAGCTCTGGAGATGTTGACTTACCCAGTCTCTGCACTGCGGCTCCTATGAGAACTGATCCAGCTGATCGTTCTGAGGTTCAGGGGCAGCTGGTCTTCCCTACCTGGAACTGTTTAAATAAACCAGCTCTTGGTGGGTTGGGCCAGCAGAGCCAGGAGGGAGGGTCTGACTCTTGGCCATGCAGAAACCCACAGATTGGCACATGGTCTACTGTGCAATCAGCCTTTTTACCTGATGACTTGGCTGAGCAACAGATACCCAACGACAGCCCTGTTGCTCTTTCTGCTATAAGGACTCTAATTCCAAGTCATCCTGTGTAAGACAGAGTTTTACCAGTTGAATCTGGACTCTGGATGAAAACTATATGCTGCCTGCAGAATGACCACAGATTTTGTAACTGTCCTTTGGGCAGGCCACTAAATGAACAAAGTATATGAAGGAAGGCATAGTAGGTAGAACAAATAAAGCCACAGAGGGCTGTTAGCCCAGGAGTAACCCAGCTTCCCCTTCATTTTTAGTAATATCTTTGCCCTCTCTCACAAATGCTCTCTATCTCATTCACCACTCTTTGCTGGAAACTTCAGCTATTAATTTCTTGGGGCAGAAGAATCTGTAGATAATTAAAGCAATCTGCTCCACATATTTGAGGGATATTTTCTTTACTCCTCTTGCATTGGATCCACTTTCTCAGTCTTGCCCTGATTATTGCTTCCACTTAGTGTAAAGTTACATAACCTAAAAACACACGGAGGAAGGTTGTAAAATCTGGAAGAGAATGAATGAACATTTGGTGTCATGAAAGATTCCAACCTAGCACTCACTATTCCTGTGTTCTTTTCGGTCTATGGTATTTTCTACAAAACAGTGTGTTGTGGGGTTGTCATTTATCTTCCTGGTAAGTTTCATTTTGTGATAGTAACAAGAAACTGGTTCTGTATTTACAAAATGAACATTTAAGGACAGAGCACTGTATTTCTGAAAGTATAGAAGTGTCCCAAGTTCAAGTGATTCTCCTGCCTCAGCCTCCCGAGTAGCTGGGATTACAGGCTCCCACCACAATGCCTGGCTAATTTTTGTATTTTTAGTAGACATGGAATTTCACCATGTTGGCCAGCTGGTCTCAAACTCCTGACCTCAGGTGATCCGCCCCCCTTGGCCTCCCAAAGTGCCGGGATTATAGTCATGAGCCACTGCTCCTGGCCACTAAAATTGTATTCAGAACATGCTCATAAGATTTTTATGATTGTTCCTTGTATAGATTTCCTGTGTACACTTCCAACTACTTCATTTGCCTGCAGAACTAACACAAATGACCTACTTTGATATTTGTGACCTTTGGGAGAAGATCGTTTTTTATGAAGCAAGAATAAGGTATAAGCCAACGTTAAGCAAAATTCTCTGTACTTCAGCATGATTTTGTCTTTGACAGACACAAGCCACTTCTTCCAGGTTCTTTATTTTATTAGCATAACTTGTCTTGCAGCCTAATTTAATGACACATTTTCAGACCTGATCCATACTTCCACTGAGAGGAATAGTCAGAATTGTGCCCTAGTATTAAGTGCCCTAGTATTGTCATTTTTTTTTTTTTTTTGGAAAGTGATGAACATTGTAAAATATTGTCCCAGAAAAAGACTTTGCATTTGTGGTAAAAACCTCTGTTGAGGCCATACTTGCAATTTCTTCAGCCCCAGGTTACCCTTGCAATATTACTTTCTTTTTTTTTTTTTTTTGAGACAGAGTTTTGCTCTTGTTGTCCGTGCTGGAGTGCAATGGCGTGTGATCTCGGCTCACTGCAACCTCCGCCTCCCAGGTTCAAGCGATTCTCCTGCCTCAGCCTCCTAGTAGCTGGGATTACAGGCATGTGCCAGCATGCCTGGCTAATTTTTTGTATTTTTAGTAGAGATGGAGTTTCACCATGTTGGCCAGACTGATCTTAAACTCCTGACCTCAGCTGATCTGCCCGCCTTGGCCTCCCAAAGTGCTGGGATTACAGGTGTGAGCCACTGTACCCAGCCAGTATTTGCTCTTAACCTGCTGACAGGGAGGTATCAAACCATCAATACCTTCCTGTACAGAGATTTCCCTAATGCAGCAGTGGCTATCTATGGGAAAGACAATCCACACGATTTATTAGGTTGGTGCAAAAGTAATTGTGATTTTTTCCATTAAAAGTAATACAAGATTGTCATAATAATATGGTGCAGGTTAATTAAATTGCACAAATGGAGTAATATTCAACTTACCTAAGTTCTAAAGATATTTGGTGTACTGAGCTATTCCTGGTCTCTTGAACCTCAGAAAGATAGTCTTAACCCTTCCTTCCTGTGTGGGGCCTCCTGCTTATCTCCTCTGAAAGCCATTGAACAACTAGATCTGATCCCTTTGACCAAGTTTCTGGCATGAAAGAGGAAAAGACTAAGCCTTTCTTCTTTTTCCTCAACTATAACAAGTCCTTTCCCTCCCTGGAAAGGGAAGAAATGGAAATAGAGCTCAGATGGAATTATGGAGAGGTATGTCTTAGGAGGGATGAAATAAAGTGTGTTTTCCAAGAAACTGGAAAATTGCATTCATGTCCCATTGCATATTTAAAAAGTCTTTCTTCTCTTCCTTCCTTCCCTTCCCCCCTTTCTTCTTTCTTTCTTTCTCTCTTTCTTTCTTTCTCTCTTTCCGTCTTTCTTTCTTTCTTTTTCTTTCTTTCTTTTTCTCTCTTTCTTTCTTCTTTCTTTCTCTTCTTTCTTTCCTTCCTTCCTTCCTTCTTTCCTTTCTTTCCCTCTTTCCCTCTTTTCCTCTTTCCCTCTTTCTCTCTTTCTCTTTTGCTTTCTTTCTTTCTTTCTTCTCTCACTCTGTCACCCAGGCTGGAATGCAGTGTTGACATCTTGGCTCACTGTAACGTCTGCCTCCTGGGTTCAAGCAACTCTCCTCCCTCAGCCTCTCGAGCATCTGGGATTACAGGCATGCCCAGCTAATTTTTGTATTTTTGGTAGAGACAGGGTTTTATCATGTTGGCTACATTGGTTTCGAACCCTTAACCTCAGGTGATCTGCACACCTTGCCCTCCCAAGGTACTAGGATTACAAGGCATGAGCCACCAGGCCCAGCCTTATTTCTTTTCATTGATACATAATGGAAGTACATATTTTCAGGGTACGTGTGATCATTTAATACATTCATATAATGTGTAAAGATCACATCACGAAAATTGGGATATCCATTACTTTTTCTTTATTTTAGAAAATTCAAATTCTTGTCTTCTATTTTGAAGTGTTCAGTAGATTATCATTAACTATAGTCATCTTCCTGATCTATCAAACACCAGGCCTATTTCTTTTATCATTTCTTATATTTAAACCCATTAATCAACCTCTCTTTATCACCATTGCATTTTGAGCACATAGATGCATTTGCTGAGATTTCAGGGCTCACAGGAAATGAATTATTATATAGGTTAGTGTTTCTGTAAATGAATTTATTATATAAGTTTTGTGTCACAGTGATGTTGGGTGTAGATTTGTCATAGTCTTGTCCAGATACCAGCTCTGACTTTTTCTATTTGAGATTCTCACCATAAGAGTTGCCCGGGGTCAGGCGCAGTGACTCGTGCCTGTAATCTCAGCACTTTGGGAGGCCGAGGCAGAGGGATTACTTTAGGTGAGGAGTTTGAGACCAGCCTGGCCAATATAGTAAAACCCCATCTCTATCAAAAACATAAAATTTAGCCAGGCATGGTGGCATGCACCTGTAATCCCAGCTACTTAGGAGGCTGAGGTAGCAGGATTGCTTGAATCCGGGAGTCAGAGGCCACAGTAAGTCGATATCGTGCCACTGCCCTCCAGCCTGGGAGACAGGGCAAGACTCTGTCTCTTAAAAAAAAGAGTTGGACAGTTATTCATCCTTTCTATGCCTCTGTTTTATAATTTGTAAAATACAACAACACATACGTTGGTTTGTAGGGGAAATTTAATGTGGTAATTTGTGTGTGTGTGTGTGTGTGTGTGTGTATGTGGGTATGAAATAATGAAATATGTAGCATAAAACATTGCAAAAGGAAAAAAAATCTTGATAAGGACGATCAATCTTATGCATCAAGGTGTTAGTGTAGTATGTGTTATTGTGTTATTCCCTCTGTGGTGTTTACAATAAGACAGTATGCTTGCTTCTTTACCTTACTCCCCAAAGTTAAGGCACTGGAATTAGAACTCAGAGTTTTATCTTTTTTTGACTAAGCGCGACTTAGGTGGACAGCAAGTCATTTTGATAGGGCCTCTGTTTCTCAGGAACCCTTACCCAAACTGAAATAGAAAAAAATCACCTTTTAACATCTTGCATTTACTTGTGAAGTCAGAAAAAAGGGAAATAGATCATCATAAAAATTATATTTTCCATCAGTTTAGTGGTAAATTTGAGGAACTGTCTTAGCAAATAATTAGAGCAACTTTTCATGATAACAAATTATAGTACCTGCATGATTTAGTCTCTTTTTGTACAGAATTTGATGAATTTGGCCAAATCCTTGACCTTGAGCTTCATTTTTTTTTCCTACTGTCCTTGGATCCTTTATTCATCTGTAAAAATATTTTCCAAGGTAGAATTAATTTACAGCTCTAGATGAAACTGCACACAAATTATGAAATATGTACAACAGGTGGAAAGTGAGGTGACTGATATTAGAAAGTACACATAAATATTTAAAATTGTTCCTTATTATGCATTTCTTTTAATGGGAGTGAATAATTAACACATTAGTCCATAATGTTATGTATATTATTGCTTAGGGCCATGTTATATAAATGCAAGAGTTAGTGAAACTGATAATATTAGTTAATAGTACAAGGGCCATGGTCCAGAGATGCTTGATGTCTGGAAAACCCTGAGATCAAGAGTCGGGCTTGCCTAAGTCAACAGCCTACTTGCCTAAATTTCTCAATTTGTGATAATTCATTTATTGCCCGACAATAGTCACTATGACTGACATTTTTTAGTAAATCGTACCTTTTCTTCAAAAGGATTCTTGGCCTCTTACCCTGTCAAGATATGCTCTTCCTTTGAAACCAGGATATTTTCCTTCACGGAGCATCATCCCTTACTCCATCTATTTGAATCTCCTATTTGGCTCACATCCTTCCCTTAAGAAGAGCAAGCTTGGTTGTCCATCTAAAGTAATGGACTTAAAAAAAAAAAGATTAGAGTTTGACTCCAAACTCTGCTATTCACCAACATGTGACCTCAAACAAGGCACTTATCTTCTCTCTTCTACCAGGAAAATGTTAAAATTCTTTATCTCTTATATCACAAATACACAGACCTAATAAGTCTGATGGTGGGACACCCTGCATCCTGAGCACAGGTGAAAGTCTATGGTGTCTCTGAAAAAGCAGAGGCAAGGGTTACCTACAAGACAGTCCTGCTGTGAGTCTTAATAAAAATGCCTTGAATGAAATAGCTACCACCATGTGGTGTTGGGTTCCTTTTTTTTTCCCGAAGCTCAATGAAAAATTACAATGTATGTAAATGTTGAGTGATGCTGAGATTTTATCAGCTAGATAGTACCTGTAAAACGAAGATTCCTCTTGGGTCTAAGGAGTTTTGGGC